TTGAAGTTTTCCCAGAAAATAATGATAGATTTATTCATATTTTGCTCTTTTTTTACTTGTTTTTTTTAATAGACAAAAGGTTTTGATTAGGAGAAGGTATACTCCTTTGTCAAAAACCACTAACTTCTTGTTATCAAAAAAAAAAAACCACTAACTTCAATGACAATTTATTGTGAGATTACATTTCGCCTCCTAATTAAAAAGAAAAACTTTAACGCAGAGAAAAAACCCTAACGCAGCACCGTCAACAGAGACCAAATCGAAATTGTCTCCAGAGGAGGCAGACAACCTGAAAAGAAGTACGAAAAAATGCAAAGGAGGTGATGTTGATTTCAGCCATGATCAGACTATGGTTCCTAGAAAGGAAGAATGGATGAAAGAGAAGATTCCTTCAAGGAAATGTTGATGCACCATAACGGGGAATGGGAGATGCAGGGTGAGGAAGAGGAAGAGCATCTGGAAGGAGAAGATGAAGAAATTCATGATGTGCAGGCTGATCCGGAAGAAGGAAACCAAAACAATGAAGTTCTGTGTGAAATAGATGGTGATGATAGAGCTAATTTTAAGCTCTCAGATGCGTTTAAGAAACGTGCTTGGAAGCCATGGAAGAAAGAGATTTATGTGAAACTTTTGGGGAAAAGGTTAGCAATCACTGTAATACTTGAAAAAAGGTATTCTAATATATTATAGAATTGTAAATAATCTGTACAAAGGGTTCTCTATTTATAGAGAATATTTGACCTACTTTTAACCTAATGGGCTTGGCCCAATACAACAAAGAGCTTGGCCCAATACAACAATAAATGACTAAATAAAAACTAAATAATAACTAAATCAATATTATTTACAACACTCCCCCTCAAGCTGAGGAATAAATATTTATCATTCCCAGCTTGCTAGTAAGTTCTTGAAATCTGTCTGAAGGAAGCCCCTTTGTTAATAGATTAGCCAATTGACGCCCAGTGGGAATGTATGGAGTGGTAATCAACCCGCTATCAAGTTTCTCTTTGATGAAATGGCGGTCAACCTCAATATGTTTAGTCCGATCATGTTGAACTGGATTATGAGCTATACAAATAGCGGACTTATTATCACACAGCAGCTTCATAGGTCCCTCACATTTTATTTTGAGATCATCAAGAACAATTTTCAGCCACAGTAACTCACAAATGCCTTGAGCCATAGCTCGAAATTCAGCTTCTGCACTTGATCTGGCAACCACATCTTGTTTCTTACTTCTCCATGTCACCAAGTTACCGCAAAGAAACATGCAATAACCAGTGGTAGAACGACGGTCAGTCACGGATCCAGCATAATCAGCATCTGTGTAGACTTCTAAAGATAGATTGCCATCACGTCGGAATAACAATCCTTTACCAGGAGTACCTTTAAGATACTGAAGAATTCTCTCTACTGCCTGCATGTGTTTTTCTTTTGGATCGTGCATAAACTGACTAACAACACTAACAGCATAAGCTAGGTCTGGTCTAGTATGGGCCAGATATATCAATTTCCCAACTAGCCGTTGATATTGTCCTTTATCAACTGGAGGACTCTCTTCTTCATAGCCCATCTTGTGATTCTGCTCAATAGGAGTATTAGAGGGTTTACACCCGAGCTTTCCTGCTTCTTTGAGAAGATCAAGAACATATTTCCTCTGGCTGATAAAAATTCCTTTGCTTGAATGAGCTACTTCTATCCCTAGGAAATATCTCAGTTTCCCAAGGTCTTTGATTTCAAACTCAGAGGCAAGCCGTGTTTGCAGAATCTGTCTCTCCACAAAATCATCACCTGTGATAATAATATCATCAACATATACAAGGAGCACAGTAAGCTTCCCATTTTGGGAGTGCTTGAAGAAAAGAGTGTGATCTCCTTGGCTCTGTCTGTATCCTAAGGTCATCATAACCTTAGTAAATCTTCCAAACCAAGCACGAGGTGACTGCTTCAATCCATACAAGGCCTTTTTTAATCTACAAACTTTATTTTCCCCCTTCACAGAATCAAAACCAGGCGGGATTTCCATGTAGACTTCTTCTTCTAACTCACCATTGAGGAAAGCATTTTTCACATCAAATTGATTTATATCCCAATTGTAATGGGCAGCAAGGGATAACAAGATTCTCACTGTATTCATCTTTGCAACTGGAGCAAAGGTTTCTTCATAATCAATGCCATAGGTTTGAGTGTAACATTTGGCCACTAATCGAGCCTTATATCTCTCAAGAGTGCCATCAGAATTATATTTCAGGGTATAAACCCATCTGCACCCTACTGCTTTCTTTCCGTTGGGTCTATCAATAACCTCCCATGTTTTATTTTTCTCCAAAGCATTCATCTCCTCTTACATGGCTTGAGCCCAATTCCTATCTTTCAAGGCTTCATGTACTGATTTTGGGATTGCAATAGAATCTAGTGCTGGAACAAAGCTTTTGTGCTGCACAGAAAGATTAGCAGAGGAAACAAAGTGGGAGATAGGGTATTGAGTACAAGAGGGACAGGAGGAACAAGTTTTCTTGTGACAAGATCTTTTTCCTTTTCTAAGAGCAATAGGTAAGTCATCAGAAGTAGAAGCAATGGGTAAGTCATTAGAGATATCAGAAGAAATAGACAAATCATGAGAGGAAATAATATTAGAATCAGAAACAGGAGATTCAGAAGAAATAGGAGATTCAGGACTTACCAGTGGTTCAGACGATTGAGGTTGCTGGTGAGACAGTATGGGTTGTATCTCAGGTGTATTTGAAGGTTCTGACGCACCAGGAGCAGACACACTAGGAAGAGAGAAGATTGATCCAGACTCAAAGAAGGAAGGGGACGAGTCTTCTGAAGAACTATTCTCCCCCTGACGATGAGGACCCAGGAAATAAGATTCAGATTCTTGAAAGGTGACATCCATAGAAACAAAAAATTTCCGACTTGGTGGATGATAACACTTGTACCCTTTTTTATAAGGGTTATAACCAAGGAAGATACACTTAAGAGCCCTAGGATCCAACTTACTCCGATGTTGTTTATGAACATGGACAAAGGCAACACATCCAAACACTCTTGGTGGAAGGCTCTGCAATATGGGAACAGAAGGAAAGAAGGAAGTCATGGAATGAATAGGACTGATATTGTTAAGGACCCGTGAAGGTAAACGGTTGATCAAAAAAGTTGCAGCTAATACTGCTTCTCCCCAATAAGAACTAGGAACAGATGTCTGAAAAAGTAGTGCTCTAGCAACTTCAAGAAGGTGACGATTTTTCCTTTCAGCAACCCCGTTTTGTTGAGGGGTATCAACACATGTGAGCTCATGAATCATACCTCTGTCTGAAATGAATTGTGACAGGCGTTGATTGACGTACTCAGTACCATTATCAGATCTGAGTCTTTTAATACCCTTACCAAACTGAGTCTCAACCATGTGATGAAACCGAATAAATATCTCTGGTACTTCAGACTTGTCTTTCATCAAGTATATCCATGTTATCCGAGTACAATCGTCAATAAAAGAAACAAACCACCTAGCACCTGAAACACTGTGCACTTTAGAAGGGCCCCAAACATCAGAATGGATAAGAGAAAAAGGTTCTCTGCTTTTAATAGTGCTAGAAGGAAATGACACTCGATGGTGTTTTGCAAATTCACAAACATCACAATGAAAGGTCTCAACCGACTTATTGAGAAACAGAGAGGGGAACATAGACTTCAAAAGACTAAATGGTGGATGCCCGAGACGCTTGTGATGGAGCCAAATCATAGACTCTGCAGTAGAAGGATGACGTGTCATTAATAACTGATTTTTGCTAGCATGGTCTGGAAGGAGATGATACAACCCATCCTGTTCATTAGCAACTCCAATTGTCTTCTTCGTGGTAAGATCCTGAATAAGACAATGAGAAGGAAAAAATGTGATAGAACAATTCAAATCAGTTGTAAGTTTTTGAGTGGAGATAAGATTAGTAGAAAGCTGAGGAACATAAAGAACATTTTTAAGAAACAAGGAAGGTTGAATTTGAATGTTACCAGAACCAATAACTGATTTATGGGATCCATCAGCTACGGATATAGTATGACTACCAACAGTAGGATGATAAGAACAAAATAACTCAGTACGACAAGCCATATGATCAGTTGCACCAGAATCCAAAATCCATGAGGTTTTAAAATCAGTGCAAGAAGCAAGAAGAGATATAGAACGTGTGCTCTTACCAGATAAGATCGAAGAACTATCATGCTCAGCCATTCTTTAACAAAAAAAGTTAACAACCAGCGATAAAATCAACCAAACAGAATATCAAATGACCTCTGATCAGAAAAATAATTACAGATCCAGACAGAAGACAAGAAGACGAGAAGAATGGTGGTGGTCCGGTCCAAAAACACGGCCGCACGCGCCTCCACGCGCCGGAGAAAGGAGCTGCGCGTGGGATTCACTCGCCGGGAAAGGGGCGGCGCGTGAGAGCGCGTGGATGGGCTTCGCCGGCTGAGATTTTTCTGGTGTGGTCGTCCGGTGAGCGCACACCTGTCTGTGGGTGGTCGCGGTTGAAAAGTCGCCGGAAAGTGGTCCAAACGGTGAAGACAGATCTGATTGGAGGCGATCGGAGGTGTTTCGGTCGTTTGTGGCGGAGGAACACTGCGTAGAATGATAGATCGGAGGAAAAATAAGGTCAACAATGGTCCCCTTGGTCCAAAAGGTCCCCGGAAAAATTTTCCGGTGGCGGCTAATGACGGCAAGAGGCAAAGAAATTAGGGTTTTGTTAAAAAAGAAGATAATATGTGCGGAAGCAAAGCCCTCAGATCGAGAGCTCTGATACCAACTTGAAAAAGGGTATTCTAATATATTATAGAATTGTAAATAATCTGTACAAAGGGTTCTCTATTCATAGAGAATATTTGACCTACTTTTAACCTAATGGGCTTGGCCCAATACAACAAAGAGCTTGGCCCAATACAACAATAAATGACTAAATAAAAACTAAATAATAACTAAATCAATATTATTTACAACAGTAATGAAAAAAGGACTCGAGAACATATGGGCGAGGGATGAGCAAATATTCGTGACTGATGTGGAAAACAGCTTCTTCTTGGTAAGGTTTACTAAAGAGAAAGATATGGAATTTGCTCTTACTGCAGGACCTTGGGTCTTGTTTGATCATTACTTAGCAATCAGATTGTGGGAGCCTGACTTCCAGTCTTATTTTGCTTCGATCAATCAGATTACGGCTTGGGTTCGGCTGCCTAGTTTTCCAGTGGAGTATGTAAACACAGGATTGCTCAAGACGGTTGGTAATTGGTTAGGAAAATTTGTGAGGATGGATGCTGCTACAACTTGCTTAGCTAGGGGAAAAGTTACAAGAATATGTGTTGAATTAGATTTGAGTAAACCACTTCAGGCAGAATACAAAATTGAAGTGAGGCTGAAAATGTTGAGTATGAAGGGCTACCTCTAGTTTGCTATAGTTGTGGAAAATATGGTCACCATACTGACAGCTGCTTATCAAAGGCAACACATCTTAGTTCTTCTCTACAGGACACAAATATGAGCCAGCGAGAGGGAGAATCAATTATCAATGATTCCAATAATCAAGAAAATAAAGAAGATGAGAGGTATGGTCCTAGGATGTTGGTTAATAAGCAAAAAGGAAATAGCAAAAGTGGGCCATCTCAAGTTGGTAAAAAAGAGGGTTCTTCTTCTTTGATCAATCACAAAGTAGGGAAAACAACTGAATCGAGATTTAGTGTCTTAAATCAAGAGGAAAGAACTGAACATTGAGCTAATTCAGAGAAGGAGTAGAGCTTTGGGATGACACGAATTAGGCCAGAGAAAGGAAAAGATTCTGCAGAGAGGAGAAGAGGTAAATCCACGGTTCAAATTATTGAAACCCCTTCTGCCTATATGTTGGTAGATGAACAAGCTAGAGTGGAAGGCCAATATAGAGCTAGGGAGAATAATTGTATTCTTGAACCAAGAGTGGAAGGAAGTCAGGTCCAGGAAGATAAACAGAAAAGTCATATGATTGTGGATGAGCAGTCTAAACCAGAATAAAGATGTCTGTGGAAGAGTTCAAAGAGAGTTTCCTTCAATCCAAAATAAAATCCTTGCTTTTAATGTGAAGAAAAGCCCTCATCAGGAGCATATGTCGCTGGAGCAATTTAAGTTAGCTGCATCTAGACCCCCTGATGTAATTACTGCAAGTAGGAAGGACTCAGTCAACCAAGGAGGGATCAATTCTTTGGCTAGGACACAACTGGAGAACATAACAGTGGAAAAGGTTCAGCAGGTAAATCCTAATCCTGCAAATCTTTACCCTGGTTTTTAATGTCTTTGATCTTTTGGAATGTTAGGGACTGCCAAAAAGGATCTTTGGCATGCTCTTAAGCTAAAAATTAGGAAGTATAATATTGGTATGGTTGTTTTGCTGGAAACAAGAACTCAAAGTAAAATTTGTGAAAAAATCATGAAATTTATTGGATTTGATAGTTGTTGGGTAGAGGAAGCACATGGGTTTTCAAGAGGGATTTGGGCTATCTGGTCATCTAAAAAATTGCAGGTGGATATCTTAAATCAGTCCAATCAATTTATGCATATGAAGGTTAAGTTTCATGGTCAGTCTCAGTTTATTTGCACTGCTGTGTATGCAAGTCCTCGAGAAGTGGAACGCAAACAACTCTGGAAGGACTTGAAAGACATTGGTAATTACTGCACTGAACCTTGGATAATAGGGGGAGATTTTAATGAAATTGCTAGATTGTATGAAAAAATGAGGTAATCCACCTGATCCTAATAAATGTGATTTGTCTAGTTCAGTACTAAATGAATGTAATGTGACTGGCCTTGGTTGCTCTGGATCTCCTTTTACGTGGCAAGGTCCAAAATGGGGACATTTCGACAGAATATATAAGAGGTTGGATAGGGTGGCTGCAAATCTAGCTTGGAGAATGGTTTTTGAGGAGGCTAAAGTTACAAATCTTCCTAGAATACAGTCAGATCATAGTCCAGTTTTGCTGGATTTGTTTGATCCTAAATCTGATCGCACTAGTAGGCTTTTCCGGTTTATGACTGCGTGGCAAGATCATCCTGATTACAATAATCTATTCAGTTCAATATGGAGTAGCAATTTTGATATTCCATATATGCTCCAATGTTTTGTTTCGATTTTAAAGAAATAGAATAGAAATGTGTTTGGGAATATTCAAAGGAAGAAATAGGGACTTATGAAAAGGCTAGAGAGAATTCAGAATCAAAGAACTCACAGTGATTTAGAGAGACTATGTTGGATGGAGGATTGTTGCCAAAAATAGATCGCAAAAATTCTGAATGAAGAAGAGAAGTTATGGTTTCAAAAATCAAGATAGCAGTGGATTAAAAATGGGGATCAGAATACTAACTTCTACCACCTTTGTACAATTGTTCGTAGAAATAGCAACAAGATAACCAGACTTAAGGATGATGCTAATAGGTGGATTGCAGAGCCAAAAGAGTTGAAAAGCATTGCTTGTAGCTTTTATCCTAACCTCTTTACTGAAGATATTGTTAACAGGAGGTGGCTGGATTCAGGAAATTTGTGTCCTCAATTGACTCATGATGAAAAAATGCAGCTGGGAAAATGGCCTTGCCATCAGGAGATTCATCGTGCAGTTTTTGATATGGGTTCTCTAAAAGCTCCCGGGATTGATGGTTTTCCTGCTATTTTTTTTTTCAGAAAAATTGGGATAAGGTGAAGGATCAAATTCTTAATCTTGTTTATGTTGTTTGGGAATATCTCCAAATTATTTCTTCTATAACTGCAACTCTACTTGTCCTTATTCCAAAGAATCAGGCACCAACACACATTACTCATTTTAGGCCGATTTCATTATGTCTTGTGATCTATAAAATTATCAGTAAAATTGTAGTTATGAGATTGAAGCCAATAATGATGAAGATGATATATCCGGTCCAGGCTAGCTTTGTGCCTCATAGACATATTCAAGATAACATCATAATAGTTCAAGAAATTATCCACATTATGCACCGGATGAGGGGGAGAAAGCCTTTCATGGCTGTGAAGGTAGATATTGAGAAGGCATACGATAGATTAAATTGGAATTTTTTGAGAAATTCTATGCAGGAAATGAAGATCCCTCATATCATGGTAGAGATTATTAGGCAAGCAATTTCTTCCTCCAAAATTAATATCATGTGGAATGGTAGTTTAACTGATGAATTTCAACCTTCCCAAAGTATAAGGCAAGGTGACCCACTATCCCCCTATCTGTTTGTTATGGGAACGGAAAAATTGTCCCATATTATTGATACGGCTGTCAAAGGAGGTTTGTGGAAGCCCATTCGAGTTGGTAAGGATGGCCCAGAATTATCTCATTTAATGTTTGCAGATGATCTTATGCTATTTGTTGAGGCTAGTGTTGACCAGGTCCAGGTTGTTATTAAATGCTTGGAGTTATTTGGTGAAATGTCAAGTCAAAAGGTTAGTACTCAGAAGACAAGTATTTTCTTCTCCAAGAATACATCAGATGAGGTAGCTAACAACATTATAGAATCTTGCAATTTCAAGAGGGTCAGGAATGTAGGGAGGTACCTTGGTGCCTGGATGCAACATGACAGAGTCACTACAGATTCATATAAGGAAATAGTTGATAGAGTTAAACATAAACTTTCTGGTTGGCAATCTAAATGTCTGTCACAGGCAGGTAGAGTTACTCTTTTACAGTCATTTCTTGCTTCTATTCCGTACTTTCAAATGCAGGCTGGTGGGTTACCAAAGTCAGTTTGTATGGAGATAGAGAAAATCCAAAGAGGAAAATCCAAAGAGGATTTATATGGGGAGATTCTGAAAATAGAAGACGTATGCATCAGGTAGGTTGGGATATAATTTCCAAACAGAAATCAAAAGGTGGGCTAGGTCTGAAGAAGCTTATTTATATGAATGAGGCGTTTATGGCAAAAAATACTTAGGCTACTTTTTCTCAGCCCAATGCTCTATGGGTTTAGGTCCTTAAAGAAAAATATGCTAATGGAAGTGAGGGGTTTGACATTTTTAGATATAAACCAGGGGATTCAAGGATTTGGAGGGATACTTGCAGTGCTTGGAAGAAGCTAGAAGAAGCTTTAGTGTGGAAAATTGGTGATGGTACTTCAATTCACTTCTGGAAGGATAAATGGGTTGACAATACAGGGAGACTAATGGATCAGGCTACGCAACTTATTCCATGGGATGAGGTAAATAAAACCATTAATTATTATGTGGATCATCTTGGTAACTGGAAAATAGATACCATGAGGAGGTGGCTGCCAAATGATGTAATTGATCGCATAAAAAGCTTCCTTCCCCCTGTAATAATGATGGTGTAGATAGCTTTCTTGGTTTATTCCTGGTTATCCCAAGCTGTCAATTAGGGGTCTATATACTGTTTTTACAGATCCTGGGAGTGTACAAAGCGGATCTCCTAATTTATGGAAGGTAATTTGGAATTGGTTGGGGCCACAAAGAATCAAATTTTTTCTTTGGAAAGTTGGTCATGACAGCCTTCCAACTAGAAAGAAGTTAAGCAGATTTCAGCTGGGGAATTCAAATTGTCCAGTGTGCATTCAAAGAGAAGAAAATACACTTCGCTTATTAAGACACTGTGCAACCATCAAAGCTATTTGGCTTCGGTTATCCCCTTGTTTGGCTGATACCTCTTTTTTTAATTTAAATTTGCAGGATTGGTTGCTTGTTAATTTAAAGCAGGTGTCATCTAGCTTGGTGGGAATTCTGTGGGCGATTATTTTTAGTATAACCTGCTGGAAAGCTTGGATTTGGAGAAATGAAATTATTCATAATTCTGGTTGTGTGGATAACAGATACAAGATAGAGTTAATTGATGCTATGGCTATAGAAGTAATGTCAGCAAACTTTTCAGATGATAACAAAAAATCTGGCAGAATGTTGAATATGAAGATGATTAGGTGGATCCCACCAGAGGATGGATGGATAAAGCTTAATACAGATGGAGCATCTAAAGGGAACCCAAGTAATGCAGCTGTGGTGGTCTATTAAGAGGTCTTGATGGTAGGTGGCTAGAAGCATTTTCTTACATAGTGGGTTTTTGTAATGTAATTACAGCTGAATTGTGGGGTATTCTAAAAGGTTTGGAAAGGGTTTAAGAAGGAGGTTGGAGAAAAATAATTTTAGAAAGTGACTCAGCTTCTGCTATCACTCTGCTCACTAAGACTAGTGATGCATCCTGTGAGTCGCATTTAGGAACTCAGATATGAGAATGACTCTCAAAAGATTGGAGTGTTCACTTGGTGCATACACGTTGGGAAGCAATTGCTGTGCAGATTGGCTAGCTAATCTTCCTTTACATAATTTGGATCAAGAAGATTTTTTTATTTTTCAGGATCCCGCACCTGAAATTAGATGGTAGTATTTTTCTGATTTTAACTCTGTTCACAGGGCTAGACATTCCTTGATGTAATTCTCTTTGTTTCTTTTTTTGGGCATTGCGCATTCACCAAAAAAAAAAGAAAAAAAAAAACTTAAAACCCAAGGCAAGACTAGCATTTGGTGCAGTACATGTATTGTTCTTATTCTTATCAACTAAGAGTATGTTGCACTTGTCATTCTTATTTGGGGAGTATGTTCTTATTCTTATCAACTAAGAGTATGTCGCACTTGCCATTCTTATTAAGGGAGTATATTTTTGGTATCACGAGAGTATGTACTTCTTTATTAAAAAATAAAATAAAATAAGACATGGTGTCAATAATCATAAAAAATAGATAAAATA